TTTAAACATCAGTGATAAAAACGAACACGACCCAAAAATGAGTGGGCAGTTTACCCTTAATTGAAAAATGTAGTTAAGTTAATGGTTATTTTAAATTAATAATAGAGTCAGAATTGATAGAAGTAGCTGACTTGCACGTTTTTATTTTCATTTTTGGTCTAATCCAAGAGGCTAATTAGTTGGAGATAATTAAAATAAGGAAATGAGTGTTTATTTAATTGTTTTCACTTGCCATTTATCTGGCTGCGTATTCCATATGCAGTATCTTTAAAATTGGACTAAAATCATGGATTTAAAAATATATTATATTATTGTCCCATGTGGCCCACTTTCAGTGGCGCCTCATCCACCCCCTACTGTTTTCAATTTCAAACCCAAAATAGTAATCCAAAAGCCCGCTAACACTTCCCAGCCTCAAAACAGCTCTCTTCTCTTCTATTCCTTTGAAAGCTCAAGCTTATTATAAAAACCTATTTCTGAAATTTAAAATAAAAACCATTACCGACTCACTGAGTTGAACACAGCAAGCAATGGCCGAGGATAGTTCCAGAGCTTTTGTCAAGGACGTTAAGCGTATTGTCATCAATGCTCACTTTTTTTGTTGTTGCTGGCATTGTTTTAAGTTTTGAATGTTTAGTGGCTTTATGTTGGTTTCAATTGGAGGGGAGGGGGTGTTTGGATACTAGGAAAGATGTGGAACTGCAAAAGAAAATGAACTCCTCGATTTCCTTTTGTTTGTCTGTTGTAGCAGAGAAGATGCACTTTTTTGGTGCCTAAAACATGCTTTATTTTAGAAGGGAAACAGGTGGCAAAAATGAAGTGTTTTTACCTGGCATTTCCTAATGCTTTCTCCGAAATTGTGCAAAATGTATGTATACAGTTTTTTTGTATCTTAAAATGGGATCAAGGATGCTACATGCTATTTTTAAGCCAAACTAAGTGCATTATATATGTGTGTGTGTAAGGATATTGAAATCTAAAAATAGAATTCTGTGTTTGTTTCATTGCAAATGGTAATTTAAATTATAATATTTATTTAAGATTATTTGTTTTTTGAAAACTGGATGAACTGAAAATTGGGTAAAAATAGGTTCTTTTAGATGTCATTTTTTTATATAAAAAAAAAGGAAAATAGGGTATTTGACTTACTATGAAAATCATTTTACAAAGGTAGGGGAAAAATGAGATTACGTAGAACTGTGTACGGCACAGCACTTTTTATTTTAAAAATATATTATTAAACGAGTTCAAGGTCTTTCTTCTGGAATCTTTGGATGCTTAATCATTGGAAATTGCCCTAAAAGTGATGTCTATTTTTGTTTGTGAATTTTGTTTTTAGATAGGAAATTGTTGTCAAGTTTGTCCTTTATTTATATTTTATGGTTTGATTAAGAACAAAAACACTCTCTCAATATCGTAAACATCTTAACATCAATCAAGAGAAAACTTAATATTTTAGATTGTTGGACTTCTGATGAATGACTGAACTGCTTATGTTGAAGTCTGGGACTGCTGTCGTTACTCGAAATGATGGACGATTAGCACTTGGAAGATTAGGAGCACTTTGTGAGCAGGTATGATATTTCCTATTATATGCCATTGTGAATGAAGTTCTGGGAGATTGCATTTATTGCTTTATTTTCCTTGTTGTAAGTACTAACATGGTTAAAGTCTTAAACAATGTGCAGATCAAAGAATTGAACTCTCAAGGATATTAATTTATTTTGGTGTCATCAGTTGCAGTTGGCCTAGGTCGCCAAAGACTTAGATATAGGAGACTAGTCAACAGCAGGTTTTTCATTTCTTCTTTTGAACATTGGGTAGTGACGTTTACACCTCTAAGTACATATCGACCCTAAAAATAGATATTGATGCCATTCATGAAAAAGAATAATGGGAAATAACTATATTTGGGATGAATAGTTTTTCCTTGATATTTTTCTTATTTGTTCTCTTCTCAAATTTTGCAGCTTTGCGGATCTTCAGAAGCCACAGGTAGAACTTGATGGGAAGGCATGTGCAGCTGTTGGACAAAATAGTCTTAAGGCCCTATATGATTCATTGTTCAGTAAGGTGGTTACTCATTTTTTATTTCATGACTGCATCAGGCAATCTTTTTTTGAAGTTCATTCTTTCTTTGCTGGAACATTTCCATATCCAATATGCATGTTTTATCACCAGTACACTGAAATTTGAAATACACTTTTTGTTTTGCTGCAGCTGGATATTTCATCAGCTCCACCTCTTGTAACAGACAGTGATTTTAGAGATAGAGATTTTAGGAAGCAACTAAATGATACAGTGAAGTCCTTATTATCGCTGAAAGTTATTCCTATATTTAATGAAAATGATACCGTCAGTACCAGGAAAGCTCCATATGAGATATCATGCTGATAATTTTTCCTGTGTTCCGATGTCTATTTATATCATTACCTATATCAGTGCTATCCTTTTCTACCTATAGTAGTTTTATCTACTGCTAGAATGAAAAAAATGATATTCTTCATCATAAGTAGAAACTTAAGCTTAGGAGGCTGTACTGATACATTTTAATACTTTACACAATGTGTGTTCATATATCAATATTATATCCCTCTGCCTATGGTGGTCTAGTCTATTGTTTGAATGGAAAGAGCTGTTCATCATACGTAGAATCTTAATATTAGGAGGCTATGCCTATACACTTTAATGCACCACAAATAGAAGCTTTTCTCAAGGCTCTAATGCACCTTCTAAAGTTTGTAAAAGGAAACTTTGACTCATCTTGAAGTTCATAATTTGAAAACTTTTCAGGATTCTTCTGGTATATTTTGGGACAATGACAGTTTAGCAGCTCTACTGGCTTTGGAACTAAAAGCTGATCTTCTTGTTTTATTGAGTGATGTTGAGGGCCTTTATAGTGGCCCCCCAATTGATCATTTAAGAGACCAAAACTAGTTTGGTTTAGCCAAAGCTCTTATTAACTTAATCATTTCAACTTTTTGAACTAATAGTTATCTAATGGTTGTCTTTTCACCCAGCTTGCAGATGGACTTATTTTAGAGAAAACATCAAGTCCTTCGGGTGTTCTTTTGATTGTTTTTGAATCTTGACCTGATGCACCAGTACAGGTAAATAAATAGGAGTAAAATTTGGAAAATCCATTCCATTATTTCTTTTTGGTGTAAGTAAGAAATTTAAATTAACTATTTAATTACTGAGGCGGATCGTATCATGGGCATATGTTCACATCCCCATGAATGTTAATCTTTATTTGGCTTGACCAAGGCAGGAAAATGCTATCTGGCATTGTATGAGGTGGAGCTAAGAGCTATTTCTTGTTTGCTAGTGATTTATCTGCTTCTATTTATGAATATACTCATGTGGCATTTTAATAAGTTGAATAGATAGCCTCATTAGCTATCTGAAGTGGTAATGGGCTTCTCCTGAAAGGGGGAAAGGAGGCCAAACGATCAAACGCTATCTTGCATAAGGTCTGGATTCTAAAATGAGTTTTCTTGGATGTACAGAATTGAAAATTCATGTTTATTTTTATTTTTGGTATTTTATCGCCTCCTTTTGAATTCATAAGTAATAACTGAAGCCATTCCAAACACTGTTGGAGGTAAAGATATTGGACTTGTGACCTCAAGAGACGAAATTCCTGATCTTTTAAAGGTTGATAGAAATCCTAAAGTTACCAATCTGTAGAATTGATACTCTACAACAGTTTACAATTTAATTTGGAACACATCATTAAATATATTTTTCAGCTCGATGATGTGATTGATCTTGTGATCCCAAGAGGCAGCAACAAACTTGTTTCTCAAATCAAGAATTCAACCAAAATTCACGTTCTTGGTCATGCAGGTTAGATGAGATACTTTTGTCTTATGTATGCTTGTCCTAATGTAGAGGTGTTCATGGACTGGGCCGGATTCAAGCCTAGTTTCTGATGTGGTGAATTATACTGTATGTTTCAGATGGAATATGCCATGTATATGTTGATAAGTCTGCTAATATGGATATGGCAAAGAGGATTGTTTTGGATGCAAAAATAGATTATCCAGCTGCTTGCAATGCAATGGTAATTTATAATTCATATGTCTGTTTATTTCTGAAATTTATTCTTTGAGGCTCTATTTTGTTTGCCATATCGCGGTTCAGCACATTGCATAGTTATTTACTGCTTCTCTTTCACTTTTGGCAGGAAACTCTTCTTGTCCACAAGGATTTAGTGCAGAACGGTGTACATAATGAGCTAATTGTCGATCTTCATATGCAAGTTACATTGCAAATACCTTCACTTATTATATTATGGTAACTTCAATTATCCAAAAGTGAAAGTTATCCATGATTATTGTGATGCAATATTTGAAATACGAATGGATAACAGAATAATTAATCTTTTGCAGGTGTTAATTTATACGGTAGACCAAGAGCAAGTTCCTTGTTCAATATCCCACAAGCACGCTCGTTTCATCACGAATACAATTCAATGGAATGCACCGTTGAAATAGTCGATGACGTGGCTGCAGCCATCGATCATATCCATCAACATGGCAGGCATGTTATTCTCTCTTTTGGCAGAGACGATTATTGAAATATCTCTGTTTGCTTTTCCGTTAGGACGTATGACTATGTTTCCATCAGCAGATGGACATGAATTACCCATTTTCCCCCCTCCCTTTGCAGTGCACATACTGATTGTATCGTTACGGACGACCGAGAAACTGCGGAAGTCTTCCTGCATCAAGTCGACAGATAAGACTTGAATTATCTAGTTGTCACGTCTAAAACAAGAAAATGCAATGGATATGTGCAAAAAATTATTGGTCATCATGTATTTAAATGGGCAGTGCTGCTGTTTTCCATAATGCAAGCACGAGATTCTGCGATGGTGCTCGATTCGGTCTAGATGCCGAGGTATTGTATCCATCGCTTTTGACACCTTGTTAATGTGTCCAAGTTCCATAGTTGATTCCATTTTTCTTCTATAACCAAATAAGTTGGGATAAGTACGAGCCAGATTCATGCTCGGGTTCCGGTCGGAGTTGAAGGATTGTTAACAACAAGATAGTACAAATCTACTAAAGATCATTTATCTACTACACATTTCTATGTACATGTACATACATGCTTCCTATAGGAAATTATCGTCGGTAATCCTGCTATATTCGAATCGTTTATTTTACTGTATTATAATTCCGTATTTTCCGGCCAAACACAGGATTCTGAAAGGAAGTGGGCAGGTGGTGGATGGTGATAAAGGGGTCATTTACACCCACAAAGACATACCTGTTGATTCTTGAAAAATACGAAGGGGAAACACTGGCTGAAGCTGCTGATTTAGGTTACCTTTTTTAAACGGGATAGGAGTGTTTGTTGAAGGTCTTGTTGTTTATTACTATTAATGCAGTGCTCTGTTCTGATGATGTAATTTTATTTCTTTAGGGTATAACAACGCAGAGCACTTAGGAATGAGTTGATTAGTTTATGTTCCTTAATTAATTACTATTTTTCTTAATTATTTGTTGTGATCCTCTAATATTATTATAGTGATGCTAATGACTTAGGAATATGCTATTTAGGTTCTTTATCCTCTCTTCGCTGTAAACGAGCCGACTCGAAAATTCTGAAATGGAGCTCGACTCAACTCGAAATCCTTGAGAGCCTAAAATTTTCAAGCTCGACTCAAACTCGAAATCATGAACTGAAGCTCGTAAAAGCTCGAAAAGGGGAAAAAATTCTTAAACATAATTCGATTAAAGCCTCAAACTCGAAACCTGAACTTGAACCTGAACCTTAAATACATGAAAATCTTATACTGTATTTTTTTAAATCAATACATAAATGTTAAAATTATTAATAATTTTTTTAAAATAAAATTTTAATATATTATATTTTTGAGCTCCTCACGAGCTTTTCAAGTCGAGTATCAAGTAGCTCGTTTTGGGAGTCCAATCGAGTCGAATATTTATCGAGCTTTGATCGAGTTGATCTCGAATAGCTCGCGATCTGTCTCGTCTTATTTACAACCCTAATCCTCTCCATTCTCGGATCCGCAAAATATATATATGAGATTTGCTTAATTTTTCCGGGGTAAAACATGTTTCATATCACTCAATTATTAATAAGGTTATATACAGATTGTCTAACTTTAAAAAGTCACAGTCAGATCACTCAATTAGTTTGTTACAAACAAATTACTCCTCCGTCAAAAATGAATCGAAAGTCTAATGTAACCTCGTATGATAATAATTTTAGTCTCTAAAATTATGTATTCAATTAATTTCATCCTAATTCAAAATATTTCAATAAATTAAATTCTTCATATTTAAAAATTCTATCAATTTAATTCTTGTTCGTCTCTCATATTACTTACTCTTTATCATTGATCATTATCCCTCGACACTCATCAAATAACCTTTTTTTAGACAATAATTGTTCAAACTCGATAAATAAGGACCATACGATTTCAAAAAGGTCTTCTTCATATAAAAATGGTGCTTTTAAATATGGATTGAATTGATTTTTAATAATTAATTTTAAACATTAATTAATTAATTAAGAAAAATATATGTGTGCCGCATAAATGTCACTTCTCCACATGGTAGGGAATACATCATTTAATTAAAATTTTCCTACGTATATATATTTATTTATCCACTTGATTCCAAATTCTAAAAGGAAAGATTTACTTTTTTTGAGATACTTGGATGCTATTTTTATGTGAAGAATATACCAAATAAATAAGAATCAAAAGGACTCAATTATCAAATTTCTAGAAGATTGTGATGGCCAAAAACCTCAAGTCTCCATATATAAACAAATCAATTTCCACTAATTTTGTTTAATTTCCTTCCCCATGGCAATTTAACATGCATCGTGAACCATGGAATTGTGATCAAATTAAAATGAATTTTTTTTATTTGCATTTATGGGATTTTTGCATAAATAGTTTGATAGAATCATAATTAGGTAAGAAAATTGGAAGACCATTCAAAATTTTGCAATGTCAACAAGTTTTTTTTTTAATAGAAACAACTAACTTTATTAAAAATATAAAATATCTAAACTACAATGAAAGTTTATAACCACAATCATAAATTAAACACATAATAAATATATTTTTCTAAACATTATAAAACTAACCACTTAAGATCACGACGATTATACAAGGAAAATGTTAAAAAATCTAATAAAAAAACTAATATAAACGATAGATACGAACAGATCTGGCCGCATCGGTAAACAAACCACAAAAGAAGAAGAAGCTATTGAAAGGCCACCGACAAATCACAAGTCAAAATTGAACGACGTGAAAATATTATCCACGAACTGTAACACCACTGTAGATTCTTGATTTGTCTGGGGTTTATTCGAAGTTAATCTGGGTCTATTACCGTTAATAATTAGTTCGGTTAGATAAATATGATATTATATGTATATAAATAACTAAATAATAAGAGAAAATGTAGGTGTAATAATAATCAAACAGAATTAAATATATAACATAGACTAAAAATATTATTAATGGTGTTGTTACAGGGCCTACATCAACTCCTAAAACAGGCTGAAGGGTACAAGCCCAAACTAAAGTGATAGGTTTGGGATTCAGCAGCCCACACCGTAGCCCACACGTGAAGGCCCGAGACGTTACGGTTTCCAGCTTCTGTCCAAGGTTACAACCGCCGCTCACCCTGGACCGTTGGATCTGCTTCTAATCCAACGATCCAGATAAAGAGACCATTAGGGTTTTTTCCTTATGCCAAGCGCCACCGAAGCCAGCGCCGTTGGATCTGATGAGATCCAACGGCTCTCACCATTCCCAGAATACCGAGGTAGTGCACACAGTGTCCATGAACCCCCGAGCGTGCACAGGAACCTGAGCCGGCGTGCACAGATCAACCCAGAGCCCCGAGATAGTGCGTGAATCTACAGAGAAAGCTCCATGGTCGGCCAACTACTGCTGCCATTGAGGCTCACCATAATTGAGCCCATATCCTGCAAACACACAAACCAAGAGCAGGAACCCAAAACAAAAGGCATTTTTCTTTGTGCAAACGGATCAGCCATGACAACCAGAGAAAAGGAACACAAAAGAAAGGAACACAAAAGATAACCACAAGAAAAAAAGACCATCCATCATCAACCATCGCGAACCAGAGACCACGAAAAAAACACATCAATAACCATCAAGAACGGAACCACGAAGAACCCATTAACAAATCAAAGTCTACTGCCATTACAACCCAACAACCAGAGTAAAAACAACCCTTACCTTTTGGAGCATAGGAGAGAACGGTCACCGTCGCTTGAGAAATCGAACCCCGTTGAGTCACCAGGGTAAGTCGTCGTTTCGTCTTTTGTTTCGGGTCTGTTAGAGGAGAGAACGTTTTGAAACATTTGGGGGTTTCCGTTGATAAAAGTAAAGGTCACGTTGGTCGTGGCTTCGGATAGGGAGGGGAGTGGTGGCCTTAGGGTCTAGATTTACGGTTTAGGTTTGGTTTTAGAGAGATTTGAGGTCTAGGTGGTCGTCGGAGTTCGCGGCTTTTTAGCCAGGGTCATTTGGGAGTAACACTCGCGGTGGCTGCCACGGCGGTGGCCATGGTGGCCACAGGCTTTGGATTTTAGGGGGCTTACAGAGGAGAGTTGGAGAGAAGTAGAGAGAAAAGCGGCGAGGGGGAGTGTTACCTGGCTTAGATGGCTGAGAGAATGAATTAGGGTAAATTTTTCACATCAAAAAAATCCCATATATTCGTCAAGCCAAATGACGTCGTTCCGTATGATTCCAAAACGGCATCGTTTTGAGTCTGGGAGATGAAACGTGTCCAGGAAGAGTAGGGTTAATCGTGTGAGAGGTCATCCTGGTTTTGTTTTGTCTTATTTTGGTCCATGAACTGAGCTTTGTTATATTTTTAATTTTGTATCTTAATTTTCAATTCATTTCATTTTAGTCCAGATACAGGTTTTGGCTATTTTCACGCAAATTTTACATTGGATGTGTAATTTGACAAACTTTCAGTTTGGTCCTGGAGTCAGCATCTTATTTTCTCTTGATTTGGTTCCCTAAGTTTACGCATATTTTATTTTAGTCCTCAAATCGTAGCTTTTCTTTTCTTTTAATTTTAACTCTGTATGTTACGCATGTTACATTTCAGTCCTGTGTTGATAAGTTATGTTTTATTTTCGATTGTGGCTTGTAATTTCGATTATTTGACGATTCCATCCTCTAATATGCTTGTTTAATTTCCTGTTCGTAGCTTTCTAGTGTCCTGGTTTTTTTATGGCAGCTTTTAATATGATTTTAAATGTTAAATTTTAAATTTTAGATTTAACTTTATTAGTTTATTTTTTAATGAATATGCATGTTGTAGTATGTATCAATGTATCTTATGAGCACGCTTTAATTTAGGCAATATTTTAGTGAAGTAAACATCATTCTAGTAGTTAATTGATAAAAACCCTTGTAAGGTATTAATGTGAATATAATAGGTTTAAACTGTTAAGAATAAATAATTCATTCGTAAAAAAATCGTAAATGCATGTGAATATTTTTATAGGCTTAGAAGTTTGTTTGAATGTATGACATATTTTAATCAGTTTTCGTATGGTATCCTCACGATCATAACTCGACATCATCACATAATTTGACTAAGGGTAATACTCTTTTAGTTTAAAATCATTCTAAGTGGGTTGTCATAACTGATTTGAGGTCCGTTTTTGACGATTTTAAATTAAAAGTGTATCCCATCAGTGACACATAAGAAATTGATTTATCACTTTAAAATTTGGGAATGAAAGAAAGAGAAATGTTCGGCTATTTAAATTTATTCGAGAAAAGGTTGTTATAACTGATTTAAGATCTCGTCTCGATATTTTTAAATAATCGAACATTCTTTATCTTTCTAAAGGTTGGATAATTTTAACTTAATTAAATTGTGGTGCATCTGAATATGGTGGAATATGTATGTTATGTTGGGGATCATAAATCAAATCAAAATAGAACTTGTAAATTTCATTGCAAAGACGTTAATTAACCGACTAGGTACCGATTTAGGGCGCTGTGGGGGTGCTAATCCTTTCCCACGCGTAACTGACTCCCGAACCTATTTTTGATAACGCATACCTCAATTTGTTGTTTTAATTAAAATTAATTTTTATTTAAAATAACAAAACATTTTGGGTGCCCGATCACACCCTAATCAAAGATCGGTTGCGACTCTTCGAACCGTTTTTACTCGTAAATAAAATTCCAAATTTTCGAAACAAGAGGTTTTATAAAATCACATTATTTTTTATTAAAAATTCAATTGTAAATAAAGTAATTAAAATTGACGCGGTTTTTCAAAATCTCGCTTCGCGCTTTAAAAAATCGTTTCAACAGCTTGGCGACTCTGCTGGGGACACTTTTTTAGAGATTCAGACCCATAGTCGATTAATTAATTGTCTTTGCAAATGAAAGTTATAAATTCATTTTAATTTGGTTTTTGATCCCGTGTCTGGTTTCAGTATCTTTCTGTTCGTATTTTGTCTAACGAGTAAATAGTTGTACTGATCTGTTTGCTGTTGGTTTCAGATTATTTATGTGTTTAAAGAGGATTGATTTTGGAATGTTTTGTGATTATGTGTTGTTCTATTTTCGCTTTTCCTCATACACTGCACAGTTGCATTTTCATAACATGAGCTAAAACCCTGCTCTGTCCTATTTAAGTATGAGTGAGAGACTACTCCCTCGTGTGGTTTTCACCTCCGCATGGGATAGTGGATCACTCCTGGAGCTCACGCCTTATGGTCCTCGTGATGGTATTCACCTCCGTATAGATATAAGGAGGTGTGTTCCCTCGAATTGAACTCGATCCCCTAAAGCCTGTGATGGGCCAAGATTGAGGGTTCGGTAGCCCAAGGGGGCACCGACAAGGACAATTCGAGAACCTATTACTTTAAAACCGAACCCAGCATATAGTGAACATAGAGCCTGAACTTAGGTTGAGCCTAACCAGAACCTTAAGAATCCCGTGAAGAGGGTACACAAGGAAAAGCTTTTTTGAGTCATTTATTTTCGTTTTTTGAATAAATGCATGCGAACTAGATATCATGCGGTTAGGTTTATTTTTTGAATAAGCATGCGAATTAGATATCATGCGGTTAGGATTTTTTTTTGTGAATAACAAAGCATGGGGTAGATATCATGTTGGGTAGGATTTGATAAAGCATGATTGGGTAGCCAACATGTGGGTAGGATTCTTTAACAAATTATTATCCCTACTAACTGATTTTCTTTTGTCTTTGTTTTATTCCTTTTGCTTTGCATTGCACTTTCCATTTCATGGTGTTGATTTGGGATCGATGTCCATTAGAAGGCCAGAATATGGAACGAAAGGTTCACAAAGAGGTTGAAGACAATGCAGAGGTTTTGAGATGGTCGGAGCAATCCCAGTTGGCCAACAGAGACAGTTTGATGCATGGGTACGTATCGGAGTTGTTTGGCTACACTCACATCAATGTAGGTCAGAATGACTTGAATGAGCTCAAAGAGATATGGGGAAGATGGGAAACGGTCGATAAAGAGATGTTTTATCAGTTATATGGCGATATAGCTTGTCTCCTGGATGTTCTAATTGATAGAAATCTGTTTAGGGCCCTGGCGTAATTCTGAAATCCCGCTTATAGATGCTTTACGTTTGGCAGAGTGGATCTGACGCCAACAATAGAAGAGTATCGAGCTTTGATCCGTCATCCAAGGTCCCAAATGGATAGAATATATACCAATACACCATTCACTCCTTCGTTCAAGAAGAAATTACAATTGATGACCGGAATGAGTGAGGATTGGGTTGTTAAGGGCATTAAGAAGAAAGGAGACAGTGAGTGCATCTCCTGGATTACGCTAAAAGAAGTAATTAATTGCCACCCTGACAAGAGGAAGAAGCTTGACCTGTTTGCTTTAGGGATTTATGGGCTAGTTATCTTCCCAAAGGTGCTAGGATACGTAGACATATCAGTTGTCGACCTGTTCGAAAGATTGGACAAGCAAGTGGATCATGTTCCCGCTATCTTAGCGGAGACGTTTTGCTCTTTGAGTTCTTGTAGGCGAGAAGGGGAATGACGCTTTATAGGGTGTGTACCCCTGCTACTAGTGTGGATCCTTAGCCATTTTAAGCACGTCGAGAGGGCATCGGGTCGATTGTTTCTAGATGGGTTTTCACCTTTGAAGGATTTCCTTTCAAAAGATTGGCCTGGGGGTTTTACCGAAGAAAAGTGGATGGTCATCTTCAAAGATATCAGAGACGGTGATGTTTTATGGAGAGCTTCTTGGAATGTCACTTCAGACATACTTTACAGCTGTGGAGAGCAGGATTGGGTCCCTTTGCCAGGTATATGGGGCTCTGTTGGATATACACCTCTACTAGTTTCCAGACAATATGGGTCAAGGCAATTCATTCCAAGTACACGAGACTTGTCAGGATCAGATTTCGCTTTCAAGGGAGATCAATACAAGAGCAGAGTCAAAGGGGTTGCTGAAGCCTGGAAGCAAACTCGTCGTGTAAATCTGTTCACCTATGGTCTAGAACTATCACATGAGTACGAACAGTGGAGAAGCAATCGAGTAAACGACAATATCCCAATGGTGAATCCTGAAAACATTCAATCTATGGCATAGTATTTGAGGATAGTTCCATCTCTATTAGAGTTAGCTAAGCGTGATTTTGAGGCGGAAAAGAGACATTGGAGGACTACTCTACAAAATCTAGAAGATGAGGTATTTCAGAAAGGGTTGGAGATCGATATTCAAAAAAGTAAAGCGGACCGAGCTGAAAAAGCAGAGAAGCAACTTCGGTTAGATTTTAACGATCTTCAATCAACTTACCAACAAATGGTGAAAGATCAGACAGCTTCCAGTTCAAGCAAGTCATCTGTTGAGTGGAGACATGAAGTGGCAAGCTTGAAGAGAACAGGCGGTGAGATTCAGGAAGAGCTAAAGCAAAGCAGACATCAGGTTAAGATTTTGTCGAAAGAAAAAAGTTGTTTAGAGCAGCAATTACAAGAAGGTCAACCTCATAGCGAGAAGCTGAAGGGGAAGATCTCGAGTTTGGAGGTTGCGGTGCGACGATACCAGAGTCGGGAAGGTAGCTCGAGTCGTAGAGAAGTCGAAAGTCTAAAAAGAAGAGTAAGTGAGCTCGAAGCTATAGTTCAGGAGTTCTAGAGTCAATCAAGTGAGTTATCAACAGTTCCTTATGAGGGGGATGCTCAGTGGCGTTTTCGATGGGAGCGAGCCCAGGCGAGAGCCAAGCGAGGAGAAGATCTTATCGCTTGTTACCTAGGGCATGCTCGGGGGATCGCACAGTATTTGGTCGATCTATCTCAAAAAGCTATTGCTATAGGCGGAGAGCTGGATCCTGAGGCGGAAGAAAACGAGAAGATCTTGGAATTGCTAGCCCATGTACAACAGATAGGGGAAACATTGCAGATTTATCTGTGATATGTTTTAACCTTGTAATCGAACGTCGTTTCTAATATAAAGAGTTGTTCTAAGGAATCGCTCCAGGATCAACACCCTGCATTTTGCATATGCATCATTTTATTGTTTTTCGTAATGCATCTTTATTTTTCTTACATCGCACTTTATTCATTCATAATCATATACTTCATATTCATTAAATAAGATACAAACATTAACAAAAGGAACTGTGTAACAGTGAAATACTGG